GAGAATTTAGCACAATTTAAGTACTTTGTCAAACTGTAAGGCATACCCGAGGAAGCTGAATGTGGAGTGCGAATTGAGGGACCGAGTTGTAAAGTGGTGTTAGTGACATAATCACGAAGCTTCACGAGATGGCTTTCGTACACGAAGACCTTTCCCCAGGGATGCGGGGACAAGTATGCTCCTCGGGAACCTCTAGTTCTGTCATCATAGAGTCGGTTTGTTCTGGTGGGAGAACGATCTGGGTGGGAGGCTCTTGTTCATGGCATTCGGCGTGGCCCTCCCCGAACTCGGTTGTGGGCACATCTTCTGTTGTGGGGTTAATGTCATCGGTCTCCACAACGTGTTCTCGCATTGTTCATTGCACCAAGTCCAGGCAATGCTTCCTCGACAATGCCAACATCAACGGTAGGCAATCCTACCTCCGAATGTCTACTGTGGGCAAGAGAGGCAAACGGGAATTCATGTTCTACAAACTTAACATCTCTCGAAGTCCAGAAGACTTCTCTTTCCGAGATCAAACAATTTCCAGCCCTTTTTTCGATTGAATATCCAACAAATACATTCTTGCGACTTCTACTTGCAAATTTGTCACCTTTCCTATCTTGGTTATGTGCATAACACAAGCATCCAAATACCCGTAGATGGTCATAAGTGGGTGGCTTCCCATTCAATATTTCATATGGAGTTTTTCCATGGAGAACGGTTGAGGGTGTACGATTGATCAAGTATCCTGCGGTCAAAATGCATTCTCCCCAGAATTGAAGTGGAAGTTCTCCCTGAAATCGTAGAGCACGAGCTACATTTAGGATGTATCGATGTTTTCGTTCGGCTCTCCCATTTTGCTGAGGTGTTCCAGTGCATGAGGTTTGATGGAGTATCCCATGTTGCTGAAAATATCGTTGAAGACACATAAACTCAGTTTCATTGTCACTTCGTAATATTTTGACTTGTTTCTCGTATTGTCGTTCTATTAAGGCGATGAAATGCATTAAGGTTTGTGACACATCTTTCTTATTATTCAAGAGATATATCCACACAGCTCGAGAACAGTCATCAACCAAAGTGAGAAAGTAAGATGCACCACAAGACGAGGGAGTTCTATATGGACCCCATACATCACAATGTATTAAATCAAATATATTGGATGCTTGAAAATCACTTAAAGGAAATGTGTTTCTGCATTGCTTTGATCTCTCACACACTTCACACACACGAGTTGTATCCGTATTTCTATTCACGCTGTTCAGATGCGGAATTTTTCTAACAATCTGGTAGGCAGGATGTCCCATTCGCTTGTGCCAAATCTCTAGTTGATTTTCTGCATTGGTCTGATACGCCTTTATGCCACTCACACCACGATACCAATAGAGTCCCTCTTTTCGTTCACCCGCACCAATCAGCATCCTCGAAGTGTGGTCCTGCATTGCACAAAATCTATCGAGTAAATGTACTTGTACATTTTACTTCATTCGATCAATTGTGATACTGAAATCAAATTGCAATTCAATTTCGGAACATATAGAACATGTTTAAGTTTCGAGTCCTCCATCAAGAAAAACCGATCCTTCTTTGTTTGCCAGCACCAATTCACCATTTGGTAGTCCCACTGGGCACCCTTCCAAGGCTCGACTCTCCCTCAAGTTTTCTAGTGTTCCTGTCATATGATTAGAGGCGCCACTATCAATAATCCACAAGTCACATGCTTTCTTACCGGTCATCTTTTCGGTTTCATTTGCCTTGCGAGAATTCAACATTGCTTGTCAAGATCTGTCATTGCTCATTACTCGGTCCTGCGACTTCGGTTTTTCGGTTGAACCAACGTTATCTGCACCAGTGTGCACCATATTGACGCGAGTCGTTCCTCCTTTTCCTCGGAAGGTTCCTGTTCTTTGTTGATTTTTTCATCGTTTTTATCGGTTCGTGGTCTCTCTCCCCACCATTCTGGGTAACCAATGATCTTGAAGCAATTGCCTTTGTCATGTCCCTTCCTTCCACACTGCATGCAAACAACTGATTTTTCTTTCGCTTCATTGCGCAACTTGCTCCTGGTTTCCGCTCGCATAGCCATTCCCACGATCATTCCTCGCTCTTCTTTAGACCTGGTGATTGCTCTCACCCTTTCTTCTTGCACCATGGTGCCATACACCCGATTCAACGAGGGTAATGGATCTGTTGCCAAAACATTTGACCGTGCAGTTCCATAGCCCTCATCATCTAGTCCCATCAAGAACTGATGAATTTTTTCTTCTTCTCTTCGTTTCTCAAGTTGCGTCATAATATTACACTTGCATCCCCCACATCTACACTCGTGGGATTTGCTCGTAATTTGCCAGTTCATCTCACAACGTTTTCAACTTCCCATAATAGGAAACCATAGTCATTCCTTGTTGTTTGCATTCCGCCAACTCGACTTTAGTCGCTGGATTCTTGGTCCGTTCACTATCGAGAATCGTTCCTTGATGTCATCCCATAGGTCCTTTGCGTTTTCCATGTATGCAACAAGTGGAACGCAAACTAGGTTCTATAGTGTTTAGTATCCAAGATACAAGCATCGATTGAATTGTCCACCAATCTTCTATCTCGGATGTGTCTTCTTCAGGTTCCTTATGAGTTCCATCTATGAAACCCCATTTCCTTCGAGCCCGCAGAGATATCTTCACGGCCCTTGCCCATTCCTCGTAATTCTCTCCTCGTAATTGTACCTGTGTAATCACATTTCCGGGATTATCACCGGCACTCGGATCGTATGGCGATGGTGTTTTCTTCACCGTCTCTCCTCTCTCTGCCATTTTAGAAGTACGACTGTGTTCTCGGGCCGTTGGATATCGGAGTTTGGTTCGCTTCGATACCATGATAAAAATATTTCCAAAAACCCCTGTCTTGTATTGAATATGATAGCACAATATATACATGAAATACGAAACATTCTAGGCTATAATTACGCTAACCATTATAGTCGGTATCCTAAATTTGTCTATTAACGAGATATGACATTAATGTGCATCACCGTGCATCATTTGTCATGCCAAGCTAAATATGGAAAAAATTAATCATGTAGAATCATGGCATGATACGGTATTTGTAATCGTATATTCTATGTTTATCATTCTTCATTGTCGCTTGATTCTTTTTGTTACAAATTTAAAAATTTAATTATTTAAAAATAACTAATTGATTTATAAATCAAAATTTTAAGATGATATATATGTGTATTTTTAATATGTGAAATATTTCTCGTATAAATATAAATATATATTTTATTCATGTACTCTATTCATAGAATAAAAATATATAATTATTATATACATTCTCATTAACATTTAAAATAGACTTAACTTAATATATTATTCTAAAAAATAAGTTAAATTAGAAAAAAAAACTTATAATTTAAATTGAATTAGAATTTTTTTATTCTAACTTATTTATACCATGTTCTACGAACTTAGGCCAAGGTAATTCGTGCACATATAAATCAACTTTTTTTATATAATAATAATTATTTTTAAATAAAAATAAAAATAATATTATTTTATTAATATATATATATATATTATAAATTAATTTAATAAAAGATTTATTAATTATAAGATTAAATATAAAGTACATCTTTAACAATCATTTATTTGAAGTTAGGATTAAAATTAATCATTATTTTAGATTAATAAATTACTAATAAATAAATAATAATAACAATTAAAAATAAGTTTTTAATTTTTATTTTAATATTCAATGATCTATTTTTTTATAATTTATATTATATGTTAAATAAAAAATAAATTTATTAATATCATTTTAAAAAATATTTTTTAATTAAATATTTCCTTTTTATATTATTTTTTTAATTAATTGACCAACTGGTTTAACTGCTCTAACTCAGGTTCATTACTTCTACATAATCAAATCTTAGTTAAACTGAAATTAATCATTTAAATTTTTTAGTCAAACCATTTTTGGTATAAAAATATTAAAGCAATATTTTGTAATATAATTATTTTTATAAAAGATATAATATATTTTGTTTTTTTTATATCATATTAATTAGTGAATTTTAAATAATAATTATTTTATTATATTTTTTTATTATAATATAATCTATTTTATATTTATAATCTTTATTATAATTTAGAGTAGCATGATTAAAATATTTATTATTTTTTATATTAAAAATATTATTATTAATAAATTTATTATATACTTATTATATCGTAAAAATATTATTTTATTATAATCCATTCAACCTAATTCAATCTTTAAATCCATAGTTCATTTATTTATTTATTTATTGGATAAGATCAATTTTATTTTAAAAACATTGATTATAATAAAGAAATATTAAAAACAAACTTTCCTTTAAAACAAACAAAAAATAAAAAAACATGTTTTAATCATTTAAAATAAGCAACGTAAAGAATCTAATTATATATATATAAACATTTTTTTCAATTATCAAATATTTAATTAATTACGTAAGCTCATATTTGAATTAATGACCATGAGTTAAAAGATGTATTTCGTTAAAATTAATTAGTTTTTATTTATAAAACATATTTTGATTATGTTAAATATTTCTATTCATAAAAGTATGAAAAATAATTTATTTAATAAAAATAAGATCTGTTTAAAAATAAAACTAAAAGCATTTAAAAATAACAAAGTGAGTTTAATAATCAATTTTAAATTTATAAATATTAAATTCAAAGTTCGTTGTTTTTTTATGTTTTAAATACTTGTATAATAACTATTTTCTTAAATAATTGTACAGAAAATTATTTTAAAAATAGATACCCAATTAATTTTTTAAATTTGATAGTTAACCCTTTTAAATCAATATCTAATATTTAAAATTTAAAATTTAAAAGTTAAAGATTTACTTGGTATCCATCTTTATTCTCTAATAATTCTTTTAAATAGTTTTGCTCTCACTCTCTCCCTGTCAACACTATCAAATCCATCTATTCTTTTTCTTCTCAGTTTCTGTGTGAGATTTCTGTTTCAATTTAATGGAGGAATATCATTGCTATGCATACCCACAAATTACTGTTTCCAATGTTATACCAGAAATTCCACCTAATTCCGATGGAGAACAAGAATTCAACGTCAAATTTGAACGCTCGAACGGTTGTTGCAAAGTTTTACGCTACAACTTTCAAAAAGTACCGAAGGAAGAAATAATGGATAAAACATCCATCTTGTCTTGGCTTACTTTCATGGATGTGCCTAGCGCGGCTCAGAGTCTTGTGTTGGAAGATGTGATGCAATGCGCGCGTGAGATGCTTGATGACCCGGCTAACACACGCAAACAAGTTCTGCATATGTGCGTGGATCTGACTATCATTCGTGAAAATGAAGATGAAACGAATGATAGCAACGATGACACCACCACTACTGAAGAGGATGAGGATGAAAATGATGATATAAACGAAGAAAATGACGAAGATTATGGGTTGGTACCTGCGGCTAAGACAGTGATCGAAGGTTTGAAGATCGTGAAAGAAAATGAGAAGAAAAGGTGTGCGATTTGTTTTGAGGATTTTGTTGTTGGTGTTCGCATGGCTTGTATGCACATGTTTCACAAAAACTGTATCAGCGAGTGGTTGAAAATAGGTCATTCATGTCCTTTGTGTCGTTTTCAAGTACCTACTACTTCCAGCGATTGAATTTTCTATCCATGGTTTGAGTATCAGTTTTGTCTGTAATATTTTTTTATGATAAAGATTTCAATCTTTATCATAAAGATGATACTCTAATCTTAAATTGTTCTAGGGCAGTTATTTAGGGATTGTTTCATATGATATTGCTTAATGAAATTTAAATTGAAACGAATCGTATAACCTTGTTTTTACATGAATTATATATTGTTTGTAAAAATAATGTTGCTGGGAAAACTATGTCAAATATAAAGTTGATTTAAGCACCTACTTTAGCAACTTCAAAATTAGGGCGAATTTGTGTGTATTTTTTAAATACATAAAATAGGTAAATAGCTTTATATTTTCAATGTTTTAAAATTAGATCAATGATAAAATTATTTAATATAATTTGTATTGGGTAATAATTTTTTCATAAAAAAAAAAGAAAAATAATAATAATTATTATTATTAGTTATAATAAAAATTTACCTATAAAATATATTTGAGAATGAAAAATGAATAATATAAAAATATAGTAAAATAATTATTATTAAAATTAAAATGATTAATAAGATATAAAAATGAAAAAATAAAAATTATTATATTTTTTATAAAAAAATTATATTTAAAAAAAATTACAATTTTAATCTTTAAATTATTTTTATCAAAATCTTTTTAACCCAACCGATTTTATATCTATTAATTAAAATTTATTTATTTTGAAGTAACTAATAGATTATTATACGAGTTTTCAGTATCTGATTTTCAAAACAATGATAAAAATAATTCACATAAATTATTTTTAAAAAAATATAATTTGTAATCTTTTATATCTTAAATTATTTTTTATATAAATTTTCTTTCAGTAACAAAAAAATATTATAATTAAGGATTAATATTAAGTAATTTATATATTCACTTTAACAAACTCGTCATTTAATAATAATTAGTGACTCTTTTAAGGGACATGATTCTTTGAAGATTTAAAGAAGCATTTGTTAAACAATGTTTATGATTATTAAGTTAATTAGTGATGGGGATGAAGGGGAAAATTGCGATTTATGCGTGTTTTAAGGATCATAATTCAGAAGGCATATAAGCCTTGTTATCCTCACAGTGCTCCTCTAATGTCTCCTGAAAGAAAGCTAGGAATCACAGCCATTGGTGGCAATTGTTCATCGACAAAACAAAACTACGAAGAAAAAAATGTTGTCTTGGACATCAATGCTGCGAAGAAGAAGAAGAAGAAGAAAGAGCAAGGAAGATAGTTAATCCAGAGAAAAAAAACAAAAAACAAAACCAAAAGAGCAAGATATTCAAAGCAATAACATTTATGGTTGTCAAAATGCCTTTTGGTTTGCCAATGAAGGCCATGGAGCCTACTGTCTGCGGAGACAAGTTAGGTAACCTCATCTTGGAAGTAGCTAAAAACTTTGTTATATATATTGGGATGGTGATTGTCTGCAATGGTTTACATTTTCTTCTAAAGCCTTATAAACAACCTCGCATTACTTCAGACATAATTGTGAGCTTCTTTCTCCACTACTGAGATGATTAGACATGGTGTATGTTTGGTTTGGCGTTTGGAGTCTCAAATCCATGTTTCAGATGAAAAAGAAAATGAAATTTATTCAAATTAGTTTTAGCTTAGATGAGGATTATGGATTCATGTTTAACTTGATCCAACGCGAAACCAAACATGTACTGTTTTTATTTCGACAATAAAAGTTAAAAATGCATGATTTTGTTTTTGATGATGCTATGCAGGTAGGACTAGCTGTGGGCAACATAGGGTTTGTACGTGGACTATTTGAGAAATTCAACCTAACGTTTGGATTTATCATTGATTTTGGAATGACATGTTACATGTTTACCCTGGGGATAGAGATGGATCCTTATGTCTTGTTTGCAAAACCAACTAGGTACACTAAAATTGCTGTAGCAGGAGTTGTATGCACGTTCGTCATGGCAGGGCTTCTAACCCCAATTTTTAAGTACTTCCCAGATCAAAATAAGCTACTGGAGTTCACCCTAGCCTTCTCCACAATTATTTCTAGCACAGATTCACCTGTTTTGACCCGTTTAATAACCCAGATGAAAATAGGAAAATCAGATATTGGGAAGCTTATCATTGGAGCAGGGGTGCACACAGATTTTTTGTGTTGTTTGATGCTTTCCCTTGGCTACATACTTGTGCCAATGCCAGAATATTGTCATAATTTGGAAGGAAGGTTGGAGGCTAATATAACCATTAAAGTAGTGTGTGCAGTGCTGGTGCAAGTAGGGTTCACAGCCATGGTTTCACCAGTGCTTATGAAGTGGGTTAGCAATGAGAACCCTGAAGGTAGACCCATGAAAGGTCCTCACTTGATACTCTCACTTGCCTTCATGGTCTTAATGTGTGCCTCCACCACTATGTATTATTATAATCCAATTTTAAGTGCTTTTCTGGTAGGGCTTTGTGTTCCAAGGGATGGTAGAGTTTCCAAATGGGTTATCACCAGAATCAACTACATGTTGACCACCATTTTCTTTCCCATATTTTTCCTGTGGATGGGCTATGAATCTGATATAAGGAATTTTGAATCACGCCATTTTGCAACATGGATAAGACTAACTTTGCTTTTGGGAGTGGCAACAGGTGGAAAAATTATTGGAACAGTGATCTATGGGATCATGTTGGGCTTTCGCTGGCCTGAATCGGTTGCAATAGGAATGCTTCTTGCCATTAAGGGCCATTTGCATATCTACTTAGCTATGAAAGTGGTGAGTTCTTTGCTTAAATTTCCTCTCTTTTCAAATTCAAACACTTGATTTTGATCATTATTATTACTAATATTTTTCTCTCTTTGGCTTTATTATATAGACTAACTTCATTCTTGTGTGTTAAACTGTTGAAAATTCATAACTTAGTGATTTCAAATCAATTACTTATATGCTTGTCTATGTCATGAAACTCAGATACATCATTTGTAAATTGATGTAGCACGATGCTTCTAAGAACGAGACCATTTTGCTGTAATAATACACAAAATAACCGAAATCATGTTTGCCATTGGGTTACTTGAAGCTCATAGGCTCATATTTTGTTCTTGTCCTATGTACCAGATAGGTTGTGGTGGAACAACTACTTCCACAGGCATTGTGATGGTAATTGGAACCTTTTTAACAACTTTGCCTGCATCAACAATTGTTACAAACATCATTAAAAGAGCAAAGAAAAGAGCACCCACTCATCGATTGGCACTTCAAATGCTTGACCCCTCAAGTGAGCTAAGGATCCTCCTATGTGTTCATGGAATTCGAAATGTTCCTGCTTCCATCAACTTGGTGGAGATCACAAAAGGGACGGGTGACACCGGCATTGTGGTGTATGTCACTGACATGATTGAACTCACTGCTGAAGCATCAGACCCAATAGATAGGGATGAAGTACTGCACTCATCAACAGTGAAAGACAGGGAAGTCATGGAGATGATAGACCAAATAACCAACTCATTCCAAGCCTATGTGGTGGGGAATGATGAGGGCATTACGCTCAAAAGAACAATGGCACTCTCAACAATCACTAGCATGCCACAAGACATCTGCATTTTAGCAGAGGACTTGATGATTGCTCTCATCATATTACCATTCCATAGGAGCCAACGTGATGATGGAAGCTTGGATAGTGGTAATGTAGGATTCAGATACGTGAACCGAAAGGTAATAATGTCTGCGGAACTAGAACCTCATTACAACCTTTGACACTATTAACAAAAAATAACAAAAAGAAATGAAAGATTTCCTTCACTCTAGCATAGTTCCAAGTTTTTTGGTTTATAACTACTCGCTACATCACAAGCATTAACTTTTGATTAAATTACACTACTTCTGGCCCTTCTCGACATTTCTCCAATTACACTAACACTGAATTGTTTTTAAAATTCTACACAAACCTTCATTTTGTTTAAAGACATCACATTTTCACTCATTTTTTCATTACATGAATCCTTTTTAATTTTAAAAACACTACACTTGGACTATTGTAATGGTGAAAAAACATAAGTGTGAGTGGTGTTTATTGCAATTTACTTCTAACTTTTTCAATAGCAGTATAATAGATTTTTTGTTGAACAGGTACTAAGAAGTGCCCCTTGTTCTGTTGGGATTCTAGTAGATAGAGGTCTTGGATCAGTTGAACATATAAAAAGATCTGAAGTAACGCTAAATGTGGCAGTGATATTCATCGGTGGAAAAGATGATAGGGAAGCACTTGCCTACGCTAGTCGTGTAGCGCAGCATGCAAGAGTTAAGCTGACAGTAATAAGATTCCTGGTTGATAGCAGTGTGGAGTCCTCAGCATTATACAGGGTCATCCTTCCAGAGCAGGAGAAAGAGATGAAATTGGATGATGAATGCTTTACACAGTTCTATGAAAGGCATGTGCTTGGGGGTAGAATTTCCTACATGGAGAAGTATCTTGCAAATGCTACTGAGACCTTTGCCACTCTGAGATCCTTTGAAGGGCAATACTCATTGGTGATTGTTGGAAGGGAAGGAGGAATGAACTCTGTTTTGACAAGGGGCATGAATGATTGGCAACAGTGCCCAGAATTGGGACCAATAGGAGATGTTCTTTCTGGAACAGACTTCTCAATGACTGTTTCTGTTTTGATCATCCAACAACATAGACTTAAAGGAGAAATAGATGGGTTGGATGAAGACTTCTCCATCATATAAGTTGTTGTTAGATAGATAGATTGATAGGTAGGATAGAAGTAGATACTAATTGTAGCAAGGACACAGATAATTGCTAGAGTCACTTAGTCCAAATTGTAAAGATAACATCATCTTTTTTTTCTATTTAGCAATAGGAATGTGCCATCTTCATATTTACTCAGACTTCTAAACCTCCTAACTTTCTTCACCATAATCACCATGAATGTACATCATTAATCCTTGAAAGCTACAGAGGTTGTAACTGATTAAGAAAATGGAGAATGAAAGCTGAAGAAGATGACTTTTAAGGTTAATCTTCTCTTCTGTTCTCTTTGTGTCTAATAAGTTTTACTTAAAAAATAATAGGTTTCTATTCTCAGCATATTTTGATGGAATTTATAAAAATTGAAGAACTACTTTTTTTCATTATAAGAGTAGATAAATAGAATAGATGGGGTTTAAAATTATTTTGTACTTAATTTTGTAAAATATATAAAATGATACTTTTTGTTATTATTTTTTCATTTGTTTTGTTATCATGTCAATTATTTTCTACTTAATATTAATTATCATACTCAAATTATGCTCAGAATAATGTATAACCACATATAATCTATAATGATGCTTCTGGAAAGTTTATTTAAATTGAAATATGCAGCGAATTGTTGTTATAACCCTTGTCCTAATTTAAATTTGGGATGGTTTATAATTAAGATTTTTCCTTCAAAATTTGTAATTCACGCTATTTAATTAATTATATTATAATATGGTAGAAAAAAAACTGAAATAAATAGATTTTATATAAAAAAATTAAAATAAAATAATGTGAATTTGGTCCAATAAAATATTTTAAAACATCTCATCAGGTTAAATATATAAAATTTATTTCAACCTTTGAAATGAGAATTGATATTTTTTTATAAAATAAAATTGTACAATTTTTATCCTATGATTAGAATTTGTATAATTGTTAAATATTATAAGTTATTTAATTAACTAGACACGCAAATTTAAATTGCTTTAAATAACTGATTTTTTTAAATAAAAAACATTATTATTTCAAACAACTTTGTCCCATATTTTACATTTTTATTTAAAAAAATTAGAAAAACTCTCATCAAATATGTGTTCTTACGTAAACAATAATCTCATCCAAAAAAATATGTTAAAAATCTCAAATTACTGAAGTAAAATTTAATTTAATTATTGCATCGATTTATTTATTATCCATTCAATTTATAGATTATTAACATTTTTTATACTTTATGATACTAACTTTACTTAATAAAAACATCAAATTATTTTAGAAGTCCGCACGTAGAAAATAAATATGAAATAATCATTTAAAGGACATCGCGACACTGTTATTGATTATACAACTCAGTGGTGAATATGAGCAACAGTAATCAACAAATTCACAATCATCACTTGGGGGTTAAAATCCACAAGACGCAGATCACGTTTCCAAAGCATACACACACACCTAAGCGGAGTCTGCATCTTGCTCAAAATCAGAATAATCTTCATTTTGATCAGAATCGTTGTCACTTTCAGATTCACTAAGTACATATGTTGTTGGCTTACGACTGGTCCTCTGGGGTCTAGCTCTTGTTGGGGGTGGTGCAATCTCAACTACCTCCTCTGTGGTGCTTGGAGAAGGGTTTGAACCAGCAGAACCACCACCAGAGATGTCTTCACTTACACTTTCATCTTTGTCAGCAGTAGCAGCAGCAATCCTGCCCAACACAGAACTGCTTTTCTTGTTAAATGGAGATGCCCTCATCTTCCTCACTTTCTTCTCAGGTGATATCCCTGCTTTCTCCATCATATCAGTTATTAGTTTTTGACCCAACATCTGAGATTGCTTGCCACCTACGTTTCTCTTCCTGGAAGCAGCAGGTGCTTTTTTAGCAGCGGGCTTTCTCCCTCCTTTCTTCTTTCCTGCTCCTGAGGAAGGCTGCTTGATTTCAAAGTCGTCGTCATCCTCGTGTTCATCATTAACATCATTATCACTATCTGTATCATCCAACACTACAGTACTTGACTTCTTTTTTGCAGCAGGACCCCTTCTTTTTGGCACTGTTTTCCCAGCAGGTGCAGGAGGTTCTTCAGTTTCCATGCCTGTGCAAGCTAACAAGTGTTCACATCAATACTGCATGGGAATTAATTGGAAGATTCAAAATTATTGTGGGTCTAACAGCATACTCACCTGTTGACTGATCACTAGATGATGGTACAAAGTTATATGCAGCTAGCCGTTCTTGAAGTGATGCAATTTCATCATCCCCAACCTGAGAATAAACAGTTAGTGCTCAACAAAACTTGCACCAAATAAACTGAATTTGACGAAGATTTGGCAACTAGCATACCGTCTGAGAATTCTTAGAACCAGCAGCTCTGCCTTTGGGTTTAGCAACTTCGGCAACATTCTCTGATAAGAGACAAAAAGAGAAAAGTTATACTCGTACGATCTTCAAAATTAACGTTGAGCAATTAGCAGTAACGTATTTCAGACTTACCGACTTCCATTGAAGAATTATCATTCTCTGGCTCAACATTTTTGGCCTTCTTAGTATACTTCCGCGGTTGTGGTGGTTTCTTAGCTGCTCTTCGTGCTTCTGAAACACCATTGGACGCCTTCCTATTTGCTTGACTTGATCTTTTTCGTTCCTCTTCGGCCTCTGTGTTATCGATTTCCTGAAAAACACACCATGATATTTAAAACATAAATCATTATTCAAATACAAGTAAAGATTTTAAACATGTCAATTTTTCCTACGTCAAGTTTCTTCTCGAGCTCATCTAGATCCCTCAACCACATAGACTTTGATGGCGTTGCTTTCAACATCTCGTACTCCTTTTCCTTTTCAGCTTTCTCAGCTAGAAGCTTCTGAACACTTTCGAAGGTCAAAGTCCGAATAGACATAGACAACAGATAATCATAGTCTCCTGCTTTTGCTCCTTCAACAATGCCAGTTTCCTGTTCTCCAGTGTTGTTCTCATCTTCCTGCTCTTCATCGTTTGCCCCGGCAACTTGAGGTTCTGCAGATTTACCTTTCCTTGGCATGGGAGTGAAACCTTTCTGCTGCAGCTCAATCACCAAATCGGCATTCTTCCTGTTGTTCACAATAATTTCTCCACTCACAACCCCTAATATAAATCTAACTTTGTTGTCCAACACCAACAAAAGTCGTTCAAGGTTGTTCAGTATATAATTCTGCATGCATACCCAAATTGCATTTCAGTACTCAATATTAGAGATTATTTTGGGATCTAAAGACCTTCTTCCCGTACAAACACAACAAACTTACCTTTCTTCTTTCATAATAATCTAACCGAAGTGGGAAGAACTCTGCGAGAACTGCGTATGAAATCACATAAAAAAAGTGTGAAATATCAGCTGATAATTAATAGTATTCAAAACTTCAAACAAAAAAGGTAAACATACTTTCTTCTGGAGTGTCATATTTCTTAATTCTCCCTTCTGCATCAAATAGATGCATGTTGTTTGTGCTTAAAGAGGTGGTCAGTTTAAACTTTTTAAGCAGACCCTCTTGCATGATGGCCGCTATTTTCTCTAGCTTCATCCTGACTTCTATGTCTACAAGCGCATCATCACCGTTCTGTCTAAAATCCTGCGGAAAGAAACTTTTCATATGAAAAACTGGCCAAGGCTAATATATTGTGCATATAGTAAGGAAATGTTTAGGTTCAGGTAATTACATCAATTAAAGGATCCTTCACATTAGGAGACCCATCAGTTATAGACTCAAGGAACTGCTTGTAATCTTGGGTCCATTTACGGATTGGAAGCTCGTTGATTCTGAAAGTTTGTTCATTTATTTCTTCCACTAGGCCATTGACTACGTATCCACCCTCCTTGGGGCTTCTCTCAATTGTTCCTTTGAATCCTTTGTACCATGGATTCATTGGCACCATCGTCTCCCCACTCAACAAACGCCTAATATTGGCAATAATTTCCCTTGGATTATAATTGGGAATGAAGGAACTCCAGCCTGTCCCAATTCCCTCACTACCATTGACAAGAACCAACGGTATAACCGGCATGTACCTGTGAGGTAGGACAAAAATAATTTGAGAAAACCCCGTACTCGTTACTGATCATAAGCTAAAGGGTCTTTCAAAAAACAGGATAAAACATAATACCAGTTTGGCTCAATTGATTTCCCATCCTCATTCATGTATTCAAGAAGCTTGTCATCATCTTCATGGAAGATGCACCGAGTAATAGTGTTTAGTTCAGTGTAGATGTATCTAGCGCTTGCATGATCTTTCCCTCCCTGTGAGAAGAGCAAATTGCACGATTAATACAAGTTTCAAAGCACAGATGATGTTATAACAAAAGCAAGGTTTTGAATCAAAGTCATATATACAGATTCATCTCACCAGGTTACGGGTACCAAATTGACCATTTGGTTTAAGAAGATTGATGTTGTTGCTACCCACAAAATCTTGTGCCATATTAATGATTGTGCTAGCTAAACTTTGCTCACCATGATGGTACGCAGAGTGCTCAGACACATAACCAATAAACTGGGCTACTTTGATTTCTTTGAACAACTTCTTCTTAAATGAGCAGAACAGAATCTTCCTTTGACCAGGCTTGAGGCCATCAACCATGGAGGGAATAGACCTTTGAAGATCCGCCCGAGAGAACAATATAAGCTCTTTGTTAACAAAATCCCTGTAGTTTATATATCTGGCCTTATGATCACGAAAGGTGCCAGGCTGCAAGAACAAGAGTGGTAGATTTTTATTAGCAGATACACCCCTGGGTAAAACACTTTATACAAACATATACATACATACATACATACATACATACATACATATATATATACATATATATATATATATATATAAATAATATGTACAAAATTGTCTGATATAACTCTTCACACCTCAAAATTACGAATCCAAGTCTTCCTATCTTCAGCTTTTTTCTTACTGAATGCCATCTCAATGGCACTTCCATCTTGCTCATCATCCCAAACGAAGTC